TACGTAAAAGTTGCCTGTTCGCTTACGCTATTTTATAACCTTATCTACTTGTACCTTGTTGTGATTTGTGTTGTCTATGATCGTCGTCAAGGTCAGAGAGGATTTGAAATTTTAATGCTAACTTTTTTTATTATAACCTTTTTAAGCAATGGAGCTACTCAATTGGACACAACAAAAATAAACATAACCTATATTACCTGCCTATTTCAGTCTTTTCAGCCATAGATTTAATGTTAAAATAACGTGGGCACTAATACTGTATGACGCTCTTTGCGATATCTCTCTATCCCGTGTGCACACGGCACTACAGCTTTCGACCAAAAACTGCTTGGTTCGCATTTTCTACAGAATAACGGCGACAGAGTTTTTGAAATTATTTTCATCTGCGGTACCACGAAAATAAAGATAACGTTGTTGACGGGAAACTGAAACCCGATACTATGAAAAACAACGATATATTTCGACGCAATAAAGACAATGGTCTTGCAATGACAAATTATTATAGTTTATTTCAATTCGATTTATTCAATAATAATAATTAAATCCATTAGAGTAATTTTCAAAAATCCTATATATTTTTATTTTTTGGTAAAAGGCTTACAATATAATCGTACAGAGTAAATGCATTATTAACACTACAAATACACAAGTCTAAGCTATGAAAAGTACAGTGTATAGGTTGTTTCTTATCTAACTTTGGTACATTATTAGCAGCACTAGTAAATTCTAAATTAACAATATGAGGAGGAGGCAGGCGTTTTGTTTCAATTTCGGATAAAAGTTTGGCTAGAAACTCATGCTTTGAGTGGCCCTTGACATAGATGACGTCAACATCTCGTAGATTCTCATAGACAATGGAATAAATTCCTTGATAGTCCAGTTCGCCATTATTATAGTAGATACCATGATGATTTCCACATAGATATTTCACTTGCCTTTTATAGTCTTGTTTGAGCTCATGGAACGGAATTGCAGGTTTGAACATGTAGCTTTGCATATTTTTTCCATCGTAGATGGCTAGTTCTTTCGCGTAAAATTCAGGCGTGCAGAAACCTTGCAGGTCGACGACTACAAATTTCATCTTGACAAGGCGTACAGGTGACGGCAACTGACTAAATCAAGCTACGGACAGTGCCTGATAAAGGTAAATACTCCAAAACTCTGTCATGTACAATGATGCAATAGGCTCGAGTATCTCTTGGAAAATTTTCAGAACTGTGCAGCTCGAGCTTAACATCGACTGTGCTACTTTTCAAAGCTTCATTCTGTTTTGAACAGTCTATTACAAACAAACATTGATTTGCAAACGAGCTGAAATCCAGTAACGGTTCAGCATAGGTCTTTCCCATATAGGATTTCTGGAATTCGGTGTACATGCGATACGCTTCGGCATATTGTCTGTTGTCGAAATTCAGGTTCAAAGATTCGTAGGGGTAAACTTCAGAGTTTAGGAATAGTTTGATATCGGTAATGTTGACATTATCGAAATATGTGACGTCTTTCTGATAGTTGTCTTTGCGGGCAGTTTGGAAAAATACGATAACGTTTCGAGCTCTCTCCGACATCGATTTCACAGTCCAAACATCTTTCTTTGTGTTTCTCATTGCGGGCAATTCGTGAATTTCCCAATCACGGAACCCGAAAAAGATTGGTTTATTTCGGGAAATTTCCTCCAACAATTGCAGTTTTAGGACATCGTTGGGATAAATATGTTTAACTCGCAACTCAATCGTCGATATTGATATAGTAGCCTTTTTATCGCCTGTAGAGTTTACGTAGCAATTGTCATCATTTCTAGCTCGAACAAGTTTCAGTTTCTGTTTTCCCATAACTGCACTAGTGTAATCGGCGAAAACACCCAGTAGAAAATTTAACGGTATTAGCAAATTAAAGTCTTTTGTTGTTTCATTCAGAGTTTTGAGCGGCGTACCCCATCCTGCGACGTCTAGTGCTTTGCTTTCGTGTTCATTAAAGCATAGCAAACTTTTTATTGTGCTTGTCAGTCCAGGGTCTCGAACTTTCTCAATTTCTCTTCCGTTCAATTCATAAGTTTTGGTCTCGAACAGAAAGGCTCCCACATTATTTGTTAACGAACATGTTCCTGTCGTCCCACCACCACCACCACCAGCACCTGCCACTGTATTGTCCTCCTTAAAGTTGGCTTCAATGTAAAGCTCAGCTTGACTAATGTCCATAAAGACATCTTGCTGGTTGATAACTATCTCAATCACATCACTGTAGTTGAATGATTTTGTGAATGGATGATATGTATGCCATTCTTCTCGAGAAATAGATTCATCCACGTTGACCGGGTGAAATATTTGAAGTTTTTCCGATACGAAAACCATATTTGTGCGATAAAGAGTGTAAATAAATCAGACTCTTGCGTGTGAGTGCCTGCTGCTGCTGCTGATGTTTCGTCGGTGTCTGACTACAGACTGGAGAGGACTGAACGTATCCACTACTTATATTTCTTTGCTGCTGCTGTTGCTGCTGCTGATTAAAAACTAAAACCATGTTTCTTGAGTTCCAATTTTACAACGATTTCTTCGCCTCTAAAATTGACAGGTCTTGCTTCCTGATCCAAAATACTTATGGTGATGTTATCGATGCTGGTTCTATTCACCGGAAGATAAATCAGATTTCTCGGCTCAATAATTATACTATATCCTGGATCAACGGTCGGCGTGAATTCGTATAATGTATGTGAAGGATTGTTTGTATAATAGGATCCGGAGATAATGTTACACTCAATCCGTATAGTAGTCACTTGTATAATCTCAACTGGAATATCGGATTCGTGTAGCGTGTTTGCATCTAGGATGAGTGGTGAGAAGCCCAGCAATTGACCGATACTATCTTGGGGCTCAAAGTCTATATCGTAAACACTCTTGAGCTCGCACTTTAGAGTGTTATTGTTCGGTTTTAAAGACAGTAAATTATCACCACTAGTAGCAGCACCACCACCACCACTATTCGCAGCCAATTGCTTTTGAAGGTAGCTTTCGATATCGGCAATTTCGTAGGACCCTGTTGGAATTTCGATTACTCGCTCCTCCTCCTCGTCCTCTTTGCCACTCGCGTAGTAGTAGTAAAACTTGTTTCGTCCAGACTCGATGTTTGGAATAGAATTCCAGGTACTCAAGGAAATTAGGGCTAGCGAATAACTGTATCTAGAGTCTAATTCTATTGGCGGATTAATGTCAACAGTTAAACAACTGAAGCGACCTTTCAACGTGAACGTCTGAGACATGACTAATGCTTCTACAAAACACACACTCGATTTTATAATTATTTTATTATCATCAATTATTGAATAGAAAACTTAATGCCAAATGTCCACAATTGTATGTATCGAACGTTTGATACTGATCGTGATTGTAGAAAATTTCACAGTTCCTTTTTCAAAAACAATCCATGTCCGGTCTTGTGTTTAGCCAGATATAAACCGCTCCCCTTCCTACCCAAGGCAATGGCTTCCATGGCCTGATTATGTCTTTGAGATTCTTTGAGCTTGTCGGCTGCTGCTCGGGCATCGTTTACGGCTTTCGCAATCCCCGCTGCCCCTCCGCTCAATGCACCCAGTGCACTGAGACCAGCAAATATGGGAATTAACGGTAAAACTCCTCCAATTTTGGGCACTTTGATAACTCGAGGTAATTTCACTTTTTTTCGGCCACCAATTTGCTTGATTGTCATGCGGGCAGCTTTCAGTGCCAATTTTATGTTTTCCTTTGTTGGTATTTCTCCTCCTGGACCGCCTGCTTCATTTCCATACTGTTTTACATGTTTTTTAATTTTGTTCAAGATGCACGATTTGAACGGTTTAGTTTGTTGTCGTCGTCGTCGCATGCCCATACCGAGTTTCCGTTTGGCTTTCATCACGTTTGTCACCAGCCAAGCTGCACTCACCGAAACTAGAATCTTTGGCTTTAACTCGTTCCCACGCCCTGTTCTCCAACACCTTATCGGCTTGATGTCTTTTGTGTAAATCCTCCCTGTTTTCAGAGTATGCAATGTCGTGTTCTCGGCAAGCTGCGTCCAACTTGTTTTTCGGCTGATCACCTCGGGCAAAACGTTCAGCAAGTTTCGTACCAGGTCCACAATAGGAATAGCCTGGCAGATGGAGCTCGAACGGTAGCTTGTTGATACCACTATTTAAGAGACCTTTACCCTTCAGTGTCTCCATTGCTACTGAGGCAGTGGTCAAGTAAACACTGTTTTATACAAGATGCGCGCAGAAAAACAGAAACTCACCATGAGAGTTGATTTTAATTTCGATTTGCCTGAAAAAGGAATGAGTGAGCAGAGGAATAGACATAGTGAGCTTTTGCCAAATACAATTAGAGCAATTATTTGTGGTCCTAGTAATTCGGGGAAAACCAATGTGATGCTGAGTCTGCTAACCGACCCGAACGGACTCAGATTCGAGAATGTCTACGTTAATTCAAAGTCACTATATCAGGAGAAATACAAGTTCCTCGAGCAGGTGCTGAAAAATGTTCCAGGTGTAACCTTTCAGGCTTTCAGTGATAATGATATGGTGTTGGATCCGGAAAATACGAAACCAGATTCTGTATTTATATTCGACGATGTGGCTTGCGAGAAACAGGACAAGATACGAAACTACTTTTGCATGGGTCGACATAATGCAGTCGATTCATTCTACCTGTGTCAAACGTATTCCAAAGTGCCCAAACAATTGGTGCGAGATAACGCAAACGTGTTGATTTTATTCAAGCAAGACGATATGAATCTGAAACATGTCTACGATGATCACGTGAATACAGATATGTCGCTGGAAAAATTCATAATGCTCTGTTCAGAGTGCTGGAAAGAGAAATATGGATTTCTGGTTATTGTCAAGGATTGCGATATGTGCAAAGGACCCTACAGGAGCCAGTTTGATACCTTTATAATTCCCTAAGTGATTACACCAGCTTCAGTGTTACTAAAGACGTTATCGCATACAGACCTGTCCCGAAAAAGCTGTCTGTGTAAACAGAACTGTCTGGAAAAAGCTGTCTGCGTAGAGAGACCTGTCCTAAAAGAAGCTGTCTGCGTAGACTAACCTGTCTCGAAAAGCTGTCTGTGTAGACGGACCTGTCCTGAAAGAAGCTGTCTGTGTAGAGAGACCTGTCCTAAAAGAAGCTGTCTGTGTAGACTGACCTGTCTCGAAAAGCTGTCTGTGTAGACTGACCTGTCCTAAAAGAAGCTGTCTGCGTAGACTGACCTGTCCCGAAAAGCTGTCTGTGTAGACTGACCTGTCCTGAAAAGCTGTCTGCGGAGACTGACCTGTCCTGAAAAGCTGTCTGTGTAGACTGACCTGTCTCGAAAAAGCTGTCTGCGTAGACTGACCTATCTCGAAAAGCTGTCTGTGTAGACTGACCTGTCTCGAAAAGCTGTCTGTGTAGACTGACCTGTATCAAGACCTGTAGTAGAGTTGTTGCAATGACTCCGCCTATTTTGAGTAAAGCTGACAGAGATGTCAAGAAACGAATTAATACTGTTTGAAGAAACATACGGAAGAAATATTTTTCTCTGAAGCTGGAGAAAAGTAACAAAGATGAAGCATTGGATAGACTTTTGAACCCCATAACCGCTCCTCTAAATAAACTTGTGGAAAAATCTAAGAAGCCAGCAAAAAATGAGGATGACGTGGTGTTGGTTGATAAGCCATTAGAAAACGACGACGACGACGATTTACAACAAACAATAATTGGAAACCAGACTTCGAGTTATGTAGAATTTATAAAACAATATCCAGAGATAGCTCAAGAGTATATTCTTAAATACTTGGGTGGTTCTAATGAAACGGATTCGACATATGGATTGAAATATAACTCTGAAGCCGGCTTTTGGACCATGGGCACAGAAAGAGTTGATTTTCTACCAAATGGCGATATAAATGTTGGAAACGTAACTTATCCCAAGAGTCGCGGTCTATACGACTTGCTATTTCTCAAACATCCTCGACTGAATACGGAAAAAGATAACGAACAATTCAATAAAATCTTATTCCGCACCAATGCACATAGAAGAGAATATAAACCGACAGGTCAGATAAAGGGAACCAATTCGAGAAAATATCAACAATTTATAAAGCCATATACACCTCCACCACCAACAGCAAAGCAATCAAAATCTCATAAAAAATCATTGTCGGGATCCGGATTACCTGCATCGTCATCACCGTCGTCTTTAATGATGCAGTACAATGAAAAACCCAAACAGTATGTGTATTACGATGACGTAAACGAACTGATTGATAGGTTGATTATATTGGATGCGTCTCAAGAGGCTGGAAATGGAAATCACACGATTCAAATATTGAGTATTTTGGAAGAGTTGCGAGAGCTAGGCGTTATCCGAGACTAATCTACTAATAATAATAAAATAGTCTACAGCTTTCATCTATCAGTCATTAGTATGTTAGCCATGAATAAGTTTGGACATTCCCTGTCTTCTTCTTCTTCGTCACGTCGTCGTCAAATTATTCGTGCTCAGGCATCAGCTTTGCCGACCACTACCGATGGCGATTATAATGTTGAAAATCATAGGCTCTGCAATATTGGAATGCCTGGTGACGACAATGATGCATCCACTAAAAAGTATGTAGACTTGGCAACTAGCAGTCTATACAATAAGGTGCTCATCGCAAATGAAGCACTTGGCGCCCTTGGAGAAGCAGTGGATAACATCAGCGATCAAGTTAAAAGCAGTATGATCCGCATTCAGGAATTGGATCAAATCTTGAACAGAAACGTCCACGATGACCTTCGTAGCCTTGGTGATCTAGCAAGAGAGACTGGAGAAAAGATGAGTCAGCTGGCCATGAAGTGCGAGGAACGTTTCCAGAAAATGGACAATTTGAAGCAACCATCAACCATCGAATTGATCAAATTAAACATGCAGCCAATATTGTGTAGTAGTTATTATAAATATACGTACTCCCACACATATATGTTTAGTTGTCTTTGTGAAATGTCTAGAGAACAAGTGGTTAAGGAGCTTCATCGACCGGCTCGTAAAAACTTCAAACGTAGAAGATTTATACAATATGGCCTCGACGATACTTTTGCCACTGATCTGGCACAACTTGATCAGTATGCCGGAGAAAACAATGGATTCAAATACATATTGGTTGTAATCGACTGTTTTTCCAAGTACCTTTGGACGCGTCCCATTAAATCGAAATCTGCACCAGATGTTGCCAACGCTATGGCAGAGATACTCAAAACATCTGGAAGAATTCCAAAGAAAATTATCTTTGATAATGGAAAGGAGTATTACAATGCGCAATTTGCAAGTCTAATGAAGAAATATGGAATACATCATTATAGTTCGTTTAGTCCTTTGAAAGCATCGATTGCCGAGAGAGTGATTCGAACCATTAAAGAAAAGCTGTTCAAGCAATTTACATTGAATGGGAACCATAAATGGCTGGATTTATTACGGCCTATAACTGATGCTTATAATGATAGCCAACATCGTACGATACATATGAAGCCGAGTAACGTGAATAAAAAGAATGAAAAGGCGATACTTGATACTGTTTATAGTCATATCAAAGTTGCCGGTAAGCAAAAGTTCAAGGTTGGTGACATTGTTCGCATAAGCAAGTATAAACATGTTTTCCAAAAAGGCTATACCCCAAACTGGACTACAGAGCTCTTTAAAATAGCTAAAGTTCATATCACGAATCCAACGACGTATCTGTTGGAAGACTTGCAAGGTCAGCCGATAAGCGGTGGATTTTACGAGGAAGAGCTGCAGAAAACAAAACAGCCAGACGTATTTCTCGTGGAGCAAGTGCTACGAAAAAAGGGAAACAAAATGCTTGTAAAGTGGTTAGGCTTTGATGAATCACACAACAGCTGGATTGACATGAATAAAGATGCCATTTAATACTCGCATGTGATTGGTCTAAGACATGTTCGACGGAGTGGTGGTGGTGGTGGGGGGACGTAAAAGTTCTTATGAACATCAAAGTACCACATTTGTGTCTCAGTATTTGAACGTAGTCACGGTGTCATCGTGAAATGTCCTGTGCATCGAATCACGCAATGTACGCAGATATCAGTGCCGAAGACAGCGACGATTCGCAGTGTTCGTCAAATTATTGGAAATATTTGGACAGTATGATTTTGAAAAGTCGAATGGAAATTGCTCAAGAGAAACGTTTACTCAACGAAGTTAGCTACCAGGTGAACAATTTCAAGTGGATTGTGGGCCTAAGCGTCGCTCGAGGAATGCTGCCAGCAGTCAAAATAGTAAACTCCATGCTAAACTTGCCCGAAGATCAAACTTGCATAACTCTAGCCGATTTCGACTGGTATGAATTTATGGAAAAGTTCTCCAAGATGGTGATTGAAACTGCTGCTGGCGTCAAAGACTCTGCTGTGCCTGGCCAACAACAGGCGTTATCCGAGAATTTCACTCTGTATGTCGAATCGTTTTTCGGTGAACAAGCTCTAACTCTTACGTCGAATAATTGTGCATTGTGTTTTTGCTTGGACGACATCAAACAAATTTTAACTGTTTGTCCTCTCATAAATTATAGATTAGAATTAGTCAAGGATTTGAATTTCATTGTATACTATGACGATTGCCTAAAATATTTGAATGTAACTCACAATGTCAAAAACGGCAGCCATCTTTTGCAATCAATTATCAGCATGTGTAACTTGAACAAATGTGAACGTAGCTGCTACTTTCTAGAACTTGCTACTATGAACCTAGGCAAAATTGTCGGGGATTTAGATAAGCTGGACGCGTGTTGTACCACCCTCCAATCCAATTAGTATTAGTATTAATAAATGACTATAAAAAACAGGCTTGCTTTTTATTTTTCACATTACAATAGCAACCTTTGAAGAGTCAAAATGTCCGGTTGTAGTATTACTGGTCGTCGTGGTGATGCCTGCTGCCATCATCAATCTTCCTGTATAAGACAAGCTGTCTATTTGCTACGTACTAGTTTAGAAACAGACATATACTTTTTACTTCGAGCACTTGAGCAAGAACCCGACACTAATGGTTGGTTTTCCACGCAAGATGTGGAAAAATATGAAAATGGTGTCAAGTCTTGTAATCTTTATCTGGCTAATTCCATCTCCTTGGAGGACCTATGTGTGCTTATGAATCAGTATGGACTACATCAGCAATTAAAACAGTATGGCGCTAAATACATGTGTGACGATATTATTGCAAAATATATAGGTTACGATGAAGTTGACTAATTTGTATGATGTTTCTATTAAAATAAAAGTTTTCTTGGTGAAAAAAAAATCGTTTGCAGTAAATTACCCATTAACCAATTTATTAAGGATGTGGAAATGAATCTTAAATTCATTCAATTACTAACCATGATGGTGTCAAGTCAATCGTACTATGTTCTCTTAGTTGCCCTTGTGCAAAATAGTTTCTATGTACACAGACCGTACAATGTCAACAAAATGTCAATAATGCTGGACTTTTCCGCACCTAATAATACAACATCGTGGACAGAAATGCATTATGAAGTAATAGATAAGGGCCATTTAGCTGTTTTCACGACTCGTATACCGTCGTCGACGTCATTGGCGTACCTGCGTTACAAGGTGAGGCTGCATTTTCATGATGAAACTGTTGGAGATACCGAATGGAGAACTCTCATCAGAGAACCACAACAGCAAGAAGAAACATACAATAATTCCCATAAGACTCTATCAGACAACGACATCGCACCGAAATCCACTTTAAATGTAGTCATATTTATTGCCATTTGCTGCGTAATATTATTATTGAATTTAACGTACCATATTGGAAAAAGTCAATGTACCCTATGGTTTAATAAATAAATAGGTTTTTTTTCATCAACAAAATATTAGATGCAAGTCCCAGCTTGTTATTTGCGCTAGAACGGAAATGCTTATCAGTAAAATAAACTGTGAAATATGATACCTTTGTTTATAACGCTCCGACATTAAGCGTCGTCGACTCGATGGTCTGTAACCTTGAGTTTCACGAATTTTCTTTATTTACCACTACGGCATTCTGTAATAGGACACGTCGCACAACGTACGCTAGATGGCGCCACCGACACACAAACTGATGTGATATAAGTAAAAAATTATATAACGCGTGTACTCCATTTACGCAATGATAGACGTTTGATGCAAAAATGGACGTGATCCAGGTCGCTATGACGTCATCACAGAGCCCGAACCCTGAATCAAACTATGTACTCTAAATGGCGCCACAGACGTGACCCAGGTCGCTATGACATCATCACAGAACCCGAACCATAACTAAATATACGTAGCGATTTCGAAACGACTCGGAACAATCCCTTCCACGCACACTCCATATTACAGGAACCTGTAATTACCTGAACCAGAATTAACTATACGTAGCGATTTCGAAACGACTCGGAACAATCCCTTCCACGCAAACTCCATATTACAGGAACCTGTAATTACAAGAATTCACCGCAATAACCCGGTATGACGTCATCACAGGTGACAGATGACGTTTGACAGATGACGTTTGACAGGTGACGTTTGATAGGTGACGTTTGACAGATGACGTTTGACAGGTGACAGTTGACATGATGGCGGGAAAACATTTCCCCCACCCCGGGCCCCCAACTACAGCATCCTGTAGTACGAACTTCACACTATCTACGCTAGATGGCGTCAAATACGAATTTCACACTATG